TTTTAATTTCATACTAATGCTACCTAAGGTTAATATTAGAGATGCTATATGTTTGATAATGTAGCCCATAAGCTTTTGCAAAATAACATTTAGGTTGGAGAATGCTTTATTCATATGTAAAAACCAGATATTAATTTAAATTAAAAAAACATTAATTCAAAGCTTTTACTTATAAAATATACTTTAAAAATTATTTTATAAATCTTATGATGTGGAAAGGCCTCCTAATAATTATATACAAATAATAATAAATCAATATATTAAAAAATAATATAAATTATATTTTAGAATCTTCCATAATAATTTAAATTATTAAGTTAAGATAATTTTTTGATATGATATTATAATCTTAATAACCAAGTGGTTACGAGTTCAAATCTCATTATTTTTATTTACTTCATAAAAACTAAGTATATATATTATAAACCTATGCAAGTTTTAAGTATAAAATGTTTTTATCCAAAAGAAATGGTTTTTTTACATATTATGACAATGCTTATAAATCTTATAATGGCATACCATTAATAGTGAAAGATCTACTCAACCATAATTTTAAAAGTTTTCCCCGACGAACATGCCACGTTGCTTAGCCAAGAAAATTAATACGATGTTGTAGGGCAATTTTTAAAACTTATTTTTATTTAATTACGTGGTAATTAAGATAAATACTTGTAGGAATTCTAAAAGTTTAAATTATGGAGAATAAACTTATTCATTGTTCAATAAACACTGTGATTTGTTAGTGTATGCACAGTGTTTTTTATGTACAGAAAGAAAAGGGAGCCATGTTTTAGTTTAGTGTTAGTGTTACAATTTCATGAGAAGCTTAATCACTGTATTAGTTTTTGGTCTTCAGAAAACAATGTGATTTACTTAGCTAATCCATTTCCATTAGAAGCAAAAGATTCTGTATAAATGTTTCTATAAATACATTCTGTATTTTAATTTTTTGTTTTAAAATTGTTTTTTTTTAATAATTTTTTATATTGTTTGAATATGTCGATTTTAAAAATAAAAAAATATTATTTAAATATATTTTGGAAAAACAACAGTATTTTTGCAGAAAAACCAGCTATAAATTAACATCTTTAGCCCGTGACGGTAACAGGCAGCTCCACCCATGACGGTGGAGGGGAGTCCTGCCAATTGTACATGTCGGATCCTTCTTGCCCGTGACGGTGACGGGCAATCCTGGTGGTCATTTCAGTGTGGCCCCCAGGTGAAAACATTTGAAGCCTACGTGCTCTCTTATTCTCTCCTTTATGCAATTCATTGGCTTATGCTTTCTATTACATTTTTTTTTTCCTCTCACGTATTCACGAGTTTTTTTTTTTTGGGTTTCAAGGATAGTAAAAAAAACTTTATCATAACATAGCCTAATGCAAAAAATCTTTAAAAAAGTAGTATATTTTAGAGAATAATGGATGTTATTGTGATCTATGAAAAACACGTTATTTAAAACAAAAAAATAAAAAAAATCTTGAAAATATATTAAAATTTTAAAAATATTAAAAAAATCTAGACAATAAATCCAATAATATAAAAAAATCATTAATAATAACTAGAAAAAATCATATAAGTGAGCTCGAAAACAAGCTTATTTCATCAATTTCATTCACTATTTATAATTTTTTTTTTTAATGTTGTTACACTCGTTTCATTGATAAGTTTTAATATTATAATTAAAGTTTTGTTTTTTAATAATTTGTGAAGAAAGAACATTAAAAAAAAAAAAAATTCTCTCTGCTATCACTGAGACAGGGATGCCTCTCCCGAAGTTCTAGGCCCACAACCCCACTGTGGTCAAATAATCCTCTTACCACCGACATTTAATCAGTTATCAATTTATAAATATACAAAACACTTTAAATACTATTTTTTACACCTTTAATATATGCTCTTGTTATAATTATTACTGTATTAATGCACCCCCTATTTTCTTAACCGTACACCAAATGCCACGTGCTAGAAATGTCATGTATTTAATAATGTTGTCCCCGTATAAATCAAGAATATATTTAGGCTGGAAAAGTTATTTTTTATGATTTAAAAATATATCAAAACTATTCAAAAACATTTGAAAAGAATATTAATTTTATGATTTTCAACTAAAACACATTTTAAAATTAGCTTCAAACACATCACTAGATGCACATTAATAATAATAATAATAATAATTCATTGATGTGATATAGGTTTATATAAATTCAATAATTAAAATATATTGCATAATAAAATTAGGATTAATTTTACTAGTGGCCACTGCATCAGTGGAAAAAATATTTGAATTATATATAAAAAATAATTTCATGAAGTATTTTTTTTATAACATATGTAGATTTTTTAACTTTATATTAGAAACTTATAATTTTTGGATTTTTTAGATATTAATTAATTAATGGAAAATTTGAAGTTAATCATTAAATTATTCTCTCTCTTTTTTCACAAGTATTTAACCATTTAATTTGTAAATACACCAGTCATTTTTAAAAACCAACATTTCACTTTTTAAATTTGCTCTTATAATAATAATTATTATTTATGTGATAATTTCACCCATTTTTTTAGCCTTATACCAAATACGTAATTCTAAGAGCAATACTAAATGAAGTTTTTTTTTTTAAAAAATATTTTTGAACCTAGTAGTTTTGTGTGTTTACATTTTAGCTAAACTTCATTTCCCACACCTTTCAACATTGAGTTTTGGTCCTTGAAATTATCATAAAAGTTCATTTTGGTTCTTAAAATTTTTTATTTTTATTTTTTATCCTTGTAGTTTTAGCTGTTTATATTTAATTTTAAAACTTCATTTTCCTCACATTTTAATTCCTTGATGTTAAGAGTTTAAAGAGAAAGTTGTTATAAAAAAAAAAAGGAAAGATAAGTATTTTGGTCAGTGGTATTTCAAAAACAAAAATTATTGATTTTAGTGTTTGTATATTTATCTTTAAAAAGAAATTCAATGAACGTATGTAGTTTTGCCCTTTAACCATGTTGGAAAAGATAAATTGATGTTTATGATTTTTTTTTATGGTAAGGTTCCCAATATTTTGTTTCCATGAATTAATTATTTTATTTTTATTTTTTCTTACAAGCCCATAAAAAATTATCAAGACATAATTTTTTTTCTTTCTTAATGAAACTTTCTTTTCAAATCATGATAGGATTTTATTTTAAAAACATGCTTCTAATTTAAAAGGCATGTTTTCTTCAAAATAAAAAATAAATGAATAAGAAAAAAGGGATTTTGACCAAAGAAATATATATTTTCCTCGTGAATTTAAATGATTAGAATTCTTGAGAATATTGATTTTAATTACTTTAAGTTTTAATTGAAAAAAACGTGCTATTAATAAAAAAAAAGATATATTTCGTCAAAATAGGAAAAAAAAATAAGAGATGAAGATTTTGAAAAAAAAATATTTTTTAATAAAATTTAAATCATTCAAACTCTTTTAAATATTTATTTTAATTATTATATAATTAAATAAAAATTAATTATAAAAACGGTCGAGCCGCCTTTGTCTCTTTTCTCTATTCTAATATTTAATGCATCCATATTATCGTTAATTTGAATAACTCTTAATTTTCAGCATGCATTTAACACATTTCTATATGCATTTATCTTTTGTTTTTTTATTAGAAAAACCAACTTTTTAATTTTAACATCCATAATAATTTTATCGGTTTAACTGTTTATATATTTTTAACTTTATTGTATTAAACACAAAAATTATCTTTTTATTAATGATTAACAAATTTATTTATACATATCGGTTCCTTAATCGTGGAGCGCTGATTATAATATAATTAATATAATATTGTTATGAAGCCAGCTTCCATGAGTTTTCATGCAATTCAGTGGCTTATTAGCTTTCTACTACCATCATTCTCTCTCACAGAATCACACTCACCCCCTCGCAAAAATCCACCAAGGCTCCTGCTTTCCACTTCTCCTTTTCTCTCACGTATTCCCACCCTCAACCTTTCTGCAAAAATCCACCATGGCTCTGGAGTTGATCGGAGGATCAATTCTCTCTCCTGTCATTCAGGTTGTTTTCGACAGGTTGGCCTCTCGTCAGGTCCTGGGTCTCTTCAAAAGCCACAAACTCGATGATGGCCGTCTTCTGGAAAAGCTGAATGAAACAATGAATACAGTCAACGGACTACTCGACGATGCGGAGGAGAAGCAGATTACAAGTTCTGCTGTGAAGAACTGGCTTAATAATGTTAAACATGCTGTCTTTGAAGCTGAGGACATAGCGGAGGAGATTATGAATGTCTACGATCCTTGATGCCCCTCGACCTGACAGCAATTGGGTAAGCATAAGTTTTTGCACCTTTAGACCTTGCTTCCTCATAAAATATTTGTATTGATCCCTCTATTTGATTTTTAAATCCAAAATGCTGTATTTTTAAAATCTGAATTATTTATATAAATTTTGTCCACCTTTATTTATTTAAATATTAAAAATAAATACTTTACTTTTTAATTGCTAAACAATTATCTTTTAAAATAAAGTTATTTTTCCATTTTTATTTTAGAAAAAAAATTAATTTCATTATATATATAAAAATAATATGATATAGTAAGGGCTATGAAAATAACTAATGGCATTTAATCAATATCTTTTTAAAACTTAAGTTTTACTGCTTAATTACATTAAATTAGCATCAACAATCGTAAATTCTTGAAAAAGTAGAAAGAAAATGTTTACATTATGTTAGCATCAACAATTTAATTGCATTAACTTATTAATTCACTAGATGTAAAATCTTAATGTTGATGTTTTGATATTATAAAATTATGTATATGGAAGGGAAGCTGATAAGGAAGCTATAATGGAGTACTTGTTGACAAGAAACAATACAAATGGCGCAAATGTAGGTGTGATTCCTATTGTGGGCATGGGAGGGGTTGGTAAAACCACTCTTGCTCAGCTTATCTACAAAGACAGAAGGGTAGATGAGTGTTTCGAGCTCAAAGGCTAGGTCTGGGCTTCTCATCAATTTGACGTCACCAGGATAGATGATGATATTCTTAAGAAGATCAACGCAGGTACTTGCGGCACCAAAGAACCAGATGAATCTCTAATGGAGGCATTGAAAGGGAAAAAACTTCTACTTGTTCTAGATGATGCGTGGAACATTGAGAACACTGAATGGGTTAAATTACTGCTGCCTTTTTGCAGTATGCGGAGCCTGGAAGTAAGATTGTCGTGACAACACGGAATGAAGATGTAGCAAAAGGCACGCAAACTGTCATCCCCTCTCACTATTTGAAGGGAATATGCGATGAAGATTGCTGGCAGATGTTTGCAAGGCATGCATTTAGCGGTGCAAGTTCTGGAGCAGTCTCGCACTTGGAAACATTTGGCAGAGAAATAGCGAGAAAGTGCAAAGGTTTACAGCTGGCAGCGAAAACTCTTGGGGGTCTTTTGCATTCCGAAGGAGATGTCAAGGAATGGGAGCAGATATCCAAGAGCAGGATGTGGGGTTTATCGAATGAAAACATCCCTCCAGCACTAACAATGAGCTATTATTATCTCCCTTCACACCTGAAAACGTTGTTTTGCTTATTGTGCAATATTTCCCAGGGATTATGTATTTGAGAAGAATCGAGTAATCACTTCATGGATGGCACAAGGTTTTCTAGTCCAGTCCAGGGGCGATGAGGAGATGGAAGAAATAGGTGACAAATACTTCAATGACCTTGTCTCTAGGTCATTGCTTCAGCAATCACTTTACGCCCCATCATATTTCAGCATGCGCGACCTCACAAGTGATCTAGCTGAATACATGTCAGGAGAATTCTGCTTTAAGTTTGTTATGGAGAATCGGGCTCTGGGTTGGAGGGTGAAAATTCATGCACGCTTCCAGAAAGAACTCGTTATTTATCAATCACTTCAGCGGAAGCATATGCGGAGGACCTTGGATATTTCGTAGCATTCATGGAGTCCAACATCTGCGCGCCTTGTTTCCACTGAATTTTTTTGAGGAAGTTGATATTGAGGCACTGAATGACATCTTGCCGAATTTTAAGCGCCTGCGAATGCTATCTTTATGTCATCTAAAAGATATTTCTTCTCCGATGCTCAATTCCATTGGCAACTTGAAACATTTGCGGCACTTGGACCTTTTTTTTTTATGGTAAGGTTCCCAATATTTTGTTTCCATGAATTAATTATTTTATTTTTATTTTTTCTTACAAGCCCATAAAAAATTATCAAGACATAATTTTTTTTCTTTCTTAATGAAACTTTCTTTTCAAATCATGATAGGATTTTATTTTAAAAACATGCTTCTAATTTAAAAGGCATGTTTTCTTCAAAATAAAAAATAAATGAATAAGAAAAAAGGGATTTTGACCAAAGAAATATATATTTTCCTCGTGAATTTAAATGATTAGAATTCTTGAGAATATTGATTTTAATTACTTTAAGTTTTAATTGAAAAAAACGTGCTATTAATAAAAAAAAAGATATATTTCGTCAAAATAGGAAAAAAAAATAAGAGATGAAGATTTTGAAAAAAAAATATTTTTTAATAAAATTTAAATCATTCAAACTCTTTTAAATATTTATTTTAATTATTATATAATTAAATAAAAATTAATTATAAAAACGGTCGAGCCGCCTTTGTCTCTTTTCTCTATTCTAATATTTAATGCATCCATATTATCGTTAATTTGAATAACTCTTAATTTTCAGCATGCATTTAACACATTTCTATATGCATTTATCTTTTGTTTTTTTATTAGAAAAACCAACTTTTTAATTTTAACATCCATAATAATTTTATCGGTTTAACTGTTTATATATTTTTAACTTTATTGTATTAAACACAAAAATTATCTTTTTATTAATGATTAACAAATTTATTTATACATATCGGTTCCTTAATCGTGGAGCGCTGATTATAATATAATTAATATAATATTGTTATGAAGCCAGCTTCCATGAGTTTTCATGCAATTCAGTGGCTTATTAGCTTTCTACTACCATCATTCTCTCTCACAGAATCACACTCACCCCCTCGCAAAAATCCACCAAGGCTCCTGCTTTCCACTTCTCCTTTTCTCTCACGTATTCCCACCCTCAACCTTTCTGCAAAAATCCACCATGGCTCTGGAGTTGATCGGAGGATCAATTCTCTCTCCTGTCATTCAGGTTGTTTTCGACAGGTTGGCCTCTCGTCAGGTCCTGGGTCTCTTCAAAAGCCACAAACTCGATGATGGCCGTCTTCTGGAAAAGCTGAATGAAACAATGAATACAGTCAACGGACTACTCGACGATGCGGAGGAGAAGCAGATTACAAGTTCTGCTGTGAAGAACTGGCTTAATAATGTTAAACATGCTGTCTTTGAAGCTGAGGACATAGCGGAGGAGATTATGAATGTCTACGATCCTTGATGCCCCTCGACCTGACAGCAATTGGGTAAGCATAAGTTTTTGCACCTTTAGACCTTGCTTCCTCATAAAATATTTGTATTGATCCCTCTATTTGATTTTTAAATCCAAAATGCTGTATTTTTAAAATCTGAATTATTTATATAAATTTTGTCCACCTTTATTTATTTAAATATTAAAAATAAATACTTTACTTTTTAATTGCTAAACAATTATCTTTTAAAATAAAGTTATTTTTCCATTTTTATTTTAGAAAAAAAATTAATTTCATTATATATATAAAAATAATATGATATAGTAAGGGCTATGAAAATAACTAATGGCATTTAATCAATATCTTTTTAAAACTTAAGTTTTACTGCTTAATTACATTAAATTAGCATCAACAATCGTAAATTCTTGAAAAAGTAGAAAGAAAATGTTTACATTATGTTAGCATCAACAATTTAATTGCATTAACTTATTAATTCACTAGATGTAAAATCTTAATGTTGATGTTTTGATATTATAAAATTATGTATATGGAAGGGAAGCTGATAAGGAAGCTATAATGGAGTACTTGTTGACAAAAAACAATACAAATGGCGCAAATGTAGGTGTGATTCCCATTGTGGGCATGGGAGGGGTTGGTAAAACCACTCTTGCTCAGCTTATCTACAAAGACAGAAGGGTAGATGAGTGTTTCGAGCTCAAAGGCTAGGTCTGGGCTTCTCATCAATTTGACGTCACCAGGATAGATGATGATATTCTTAAGAAGATCAACGCAGGTACTTGCGGCACCAAAGAACCAGATGAATCTCTAATGGAGGCATTGAAAGGGAAAAAACTTCTACTTGTTCTAGATGATGCGTGGAACATTGAGAACACTGAATGGGTTAAATTACTGCTGCCTTTTTGCAGTATGCGGAGCCTGGAAGTAAGATTGTCGTGACAACACGGAATGAAGATGTAGCAAAAGGCACGCAAACTGTCATCCCCTCTCACTATTTGAAGGGAATATGCGATGAAGATTGCTGGCAGATGTTTGCAAGGCATGCATTTAGCGGTGCAAGTTCTGGAGCAGTCTCGCACTTGGAAACATTTGGCAGAGAAATAGCGAGAAAGTGCAAAGGTTTACAGCTGGCAGCGAAAACTCTTGGGGGTCTTTTGCATTCCGAAGGAGATGTCAAGGAATGGGAGCAGATATCCAAGAGCAGGATGTGGGGTTTATCGAATGAAAACATCCCTCCAGCACTAACAATGAGCTATTATTATCTCCCTTCACACCTGAAAACGTTGTTTTGCTTATTGTGCAATATTTCCCAGGGATTATGTATTTGAGAAGAATCGAGTAATCACTTCATGGATGGCACAAGGTTTTCTAGTCCAGTCCAGGGGCGATGAGGAGATGGAAGAAATAGGTGACAAATACTTCAATGACCTTGTCTCTAGGTCATTGCTTCAGCAATCACTTTACGCCCCATCATATTTCAGCATGCGCGACCTCACAAGTGATCTAGCTGAATACATGTCAGGAGAATTCTGCTTTAAGTTTGTTATGGAGAATCGGGCTCTGGGTTGGAGGGTGAAAATTCATGCACGCTTCCAGAAAGAACTCGTTATTTATCAATCACTTCAGCGGAAGCATATGCGGAGGACCTTGGATATTTCGTAGCATTCATGGAGTCCAACATCTGCGCGCCTTGTTTCCACTGAATTTTTTTGAGGAAGTTGATATTGAGGCACTGAATGACATCTTGCCGAATTTTAAGCGCCTGCGAATGCTATCTTTATGTCATCTAAAAGATATTTCTTCTCCGATGCTCAATTCCATTGGCAACTTGAAACATTTGCGGCACTTGGACCTTTCTTGCACCGCAATTGAAAGGTTACCTGAGAATGTGTGCACCTTGTACTATTTGCAAACTTTATTGTTAAGAGAGTGTCGACATCTCATGGAGTTGCCATCCAACATTTCCAACTTGGTCAACTTACAACATCTTGATATTGAAGGGACAAATTTGAAAGAGGCCCCCCAAAAATGGGGAAACTCACAAAGCTTCGAACTTTGCAATATTACACTGGGGGAAAAGATAGTGGGTCTAGGATGAAAGAGCTGGGGAAGCTCTCACATATAAGGAACAAACTTTCTATTCGGAATCTCAGAGATGTTGCAAATGCTCAAGATGCTTTGGATGCCAATTTGAAGGGTAAGAAGAAGATTGAGGAGCTGAGGTTGATATGGAATGGCAACACGGATGACACACAACACGAGAGAGAAGTGCTTGAGAGATTGGAGCCTTCTGAAAATGTGAAACAGCTTGTCATTACTGGTTACGGGGGTACAATGTTTCCAGGCTGGCTTGGAAAGTCTTCCTTCTCAAATATGGTACAGTTGACACGTTCTGGATGTAAGAACTGCATCCCCTTACCACCACTGGGGCAGCTTTCATCTCTAGAAGAGCTCCAAATTAAAGGATTTGATGAAGTCGTGGCATTTGGCTCTGAGTTCTGTGGAAGTGACTCTTCGAGGAGAAGCCATTTAAATCCCTCAAAATATTAAGGTTTGAGGGGATGAAAAATTGGCAGGAATGGAATACAGATGTAGACGGTGCTTTCCCTCATCTTGCAGAGCTCTGCATAAGACATTTCCCCAAGTTAAGAAATGCCTTGCCTAGTCGCCTTCATTGTTTATTGAATCTTTCTATTCGAGAATGTCCGCAACTTGTATCTGAGGGCGATGAAAGTTGTATAATTGGGATATCAGAAACATCCAGTCATTGGCGAGATCCCCAGCTAAAGGGAATGGAGCAAATGAGTCATTTGGATCCCTCTTCTTGTTTCACTGATATCAAAATCGAGGGATGTAGTTCATTTAAGTGCTGCCAGCTAGACCTTTTAGACCAGGTATCCACACTTACCATTGAACATTGTTTCAATAACGAATCCCTTTGTATAGGCGAGAAACGTCTCCCTGCTCTCTGTCATCTGACATTCAGTCACGGTCCTAATTTAGTGTCTTTCCCCAACGGAGGACTAGATGCCCAAGATTTGAGAAGCTTTGTGTTAGAGGATTGCTTATATTTGAGGTCGTTGCCAGAAAACATGTTTTCCCTCCTCCCTTCCCTACAGAATTTGCAATTGATCTCCCTTCCACAAGTTGATTCGTTTCCTGAAGGAGGTTTACCCTCCAAATTAAAGACACTTGGCATTGTGGATTCTAACAAACTCAAGGTATGTGGTTTGAAAGCACACCGTTCTCTTTCATGCTTCAGATTTACTGGTAACGATGTGGAGTCTTTTGACGAGGAGTCGTTTCCCTCTACTCTTACAACCCTTGAAATCAATCGTCTGGAAAACCTGAAATCTCTGGACTACATGGGGCTTCATCACCTCACCTCTCTTAGAAATTTGAGTATTAAGAGTTGCCCTAAACTTGAGTCCATATCAGAACAGGCGCCGCCCTCCTCCCTTGAATCTGTGGACTCCATTGGGCTTCAGCACGTCACCTCTCTTTACAGATTGAAGATTGGGAGTTGTCCTAAACTTGAATCGTTGCAGGGGCTGCCTTCCTCCCTCGAATTCCTTCAGTTATGGGATCAGCAAGACCAGGACTACAAGGAGCTTCGGCACCTCACCTCTCTTCGCAAAATGAATATATGGAGGAACCTTAAGCTTGAGTCCCATCAAGAAGGCACACTTCCCTCCTCCCTTAAAGACCTTGAAATCCGGGATTTGGAAGATCTGGATTATAAGGGGTTTCGGCACCTCACCTCTCTTCGTAAATTACATATCTGTAGTTCTCCTAAGCTCGAGTCCGTGCCAGGAGAGAAGCTGCCCTCCTCCCTTGTATCTCTTAAAATATCAGGTCTGATAAATCTGAAATCTGTAATGGGGCTTCAGCACCTTACCTCTTTTCGCGAATTGATTATCTGGGATTGTCATCGGCTTGTGCACTTGCCAAGAGAATGGCTGTCCTTATCCCGACATCGTGATATTAGACGGTGTCCTTTACTAGAATGTGTTTGTAGGAGACTGTCGCATTAGACCATGTATCTAGTTTTGTACCCGCGCTCTGCGGCTGAGCGGTTATTTCTTTTAAGTAAAAGAAATTAATAAGGAGGTTTTACAATCTATAAAATATTTTTCAATCATAAATAGAAATTCTATTTTTATACATATATTTAGTAATTAGATAGATATTTGATAAAAAAAATAATTAAGATTCGCTACATGGATAATATATTTTGTTGTATTTAACAACTATATTTGCTAGAGTGTTTTTTTATAAAACAACTATATGTGGTGATAAAAGGTAAAACAATCATACCCAAATGAAGAAATAGAAAAACAAAACTTGGGTTAAACTGTACAAATATACTAATCTTGTGACAATAAGCATATAATTAAGATAATTTTATAGAAAAAAAGTGAAAAAAAAAACATAAAAACCAATTTTAAAAAAGTTAAATGTTAAAAAATAAAATTAAAAAAATAAAAAAAGTTAAATGTTGAAAAATAAAATTAAAAAAAATATAAGCATGATTGATTTTGCAACACCTTTCATGTTGTGTTTAACAAATTTGTTTTTTAGAATATATTATTTATCAAACAATTATTTATGCAAATAAAAGATAAAAAAAAGCACAAATAAAAGTAAATTAAATCAAATTATGAAGTTTAATTATAAAATAATTTAATGTTGAATGATAAATTTTTTAAAAAAAATATTTAAGAAACAAATATGGGTCAACCCTTATTAACTTGCTAACTTTGCGATCATTGGCATATGATTGAGATAATCCCATATAAAAGAAAATGAAAGAAAAAAAAATACTAAGACTAATTATTAGAAAAATTAAATGTTGAATGATAAAATTAAAAAAAAATTATATATTAAAAATGACTTTAAAAAAAATACTAGAGTCAGTTAACATTTGAAACTCGTGATTATGATTATGAAACTAAGAGTATCCACACATGAGTCAAACCCAAAAAAACAACAAAGCAAGTTGCTCAATAAAAGAATGTTAAGGCATGAAACTTTCAATAAAAAAAATAACAGAAAAAAATATGAGTCAATCAGGATTAACTTACTAATCCTGCGATCATAGAAACATTATCGGGATAACCTTATTAAAAGGAAAGTGATAAAGAAAAGCATAAAGAACAACTCCAAAAAAATAAATGTTGAAACTTGAAATTAAAAATAAAATAAAATAAGACAGAAAAAGTCTAAAGTCAATTGTCATTAACCTTTAAAACTCATGATCATAATATTTGGACTAACCATATAGAAGACAAACCCAAAAAAATAATATAGCAAAATTAGCAGTAAAAAAAAAGTTGAGGCATGAAACTTAGTAAAAAACAATAAAAAAATCCACGTCAAACCACCAACCGCGTGACTTGGACATGTGATTTAGATAATCTTATAGAAATGAAAAGAGAAAAAACACGAAAACTAATTCTATAAAATTTAAATATTGAAGAGTAAAATAAAAAATATCAATTTTATAAAAAAACTTGAAGAAACTAAAATCAATATGTGTGAATCTTTAAAAGCCATGGCTCAATAAAAAAAGAAGCTAAGTGATGAAATCTTAAAAAAAACCAATAAAAATAATTCAAAACAAAATAAATATAAAAAAAAAATAAAAATCAAATTCAACACTAAAAAAATAAAAATCAAGTAATAAGAAATAAAATCGAAACAATTTCTAATTAGTTGAAGGATTTAAAATATCAAGAGAAAGAGAGCCACATCTAATATAAAAATAAAATAAAATAATTTGAGATAAATAAAATAAAGACTATTTTTATAAAATAAAAATAAAATAAAATTAAAAAATCAATAAAACATATTAA